TGGTTTTTAAGCCACAGCTATAGACCATTCTTCAGGTGCTCCCTGTTCTGGGCTGACCTCTAACCCCAACTCAACAGTGGCAGGTCAGGTAGGAGCAGGGTAGCTGGGATTGTCGGGCTTTCTGAGGGAGGAGGAATAGTTGCTTACTCCTGCCTTCAGGCTGCAGTGACAGGATTGCCTGCTGCTGGCCTGCGGCAAGTGAGTATTAGCTCTTAGAAATAGCTGGAGATGTTCTCCTTAGTTGTTCATTATTCTATTATTATTATTATTATTATTATTATTATTATTATCCTCTCCTGCCTAACTTCCCCTCCCCTCTTCTTTCCTTCCTCTTCCCTTTGATGCATTTCTCCCTCTCCCTTCTTCCCTCCCTCCCTCCCTCCCTTCCTTCCAGAATGTCCTTGCCTGTATATGATGTTTCAGGACCTGTGTCACACTTTAGAGTCCCCACATGGGCACTGGCATTGTGTTTCTCAGAAGCAGAGGTTAGGGCGGGCTTCACTCCCAAGGCCTGGCTGTGTAACCACTTCTGTTCCACAGTCCCAGGGTTTCTAAAATAGGTACTTCAATCCCATCGGAGCACTGTAGGAGCTGTGGCCCTCGTGGCCAGCCAGCTTCCTGTCATGGGCTTCTGCTGCAGCCTGATGAAGCCCAGAGAAATGAAACTCAGTGGCTGCCAGAAAAACCCCGGGTTTGTTTGTTTCTTGTGCCCCAGACCCAGGCGCCAGCGGTGGCGGATGAACTGAGGCCTGTCGGGAAACCCAGGCCCAATCTACTGAACCTTGGATCTGTGTGAGGTTGGGGTTCAACATGGGACATTTGGGGTGGGGCTGCAGACTTCTCTCCTGAAGTCCTTTGGTCCTCGGGAAAGGTCCTTTTGCACCCCGCCTGGACTGTGCCTTGTTTTACCCCCAAAATTCTCCGTTTTGAATTCTCTTCTCCTACTGGCTCTCTTCCTAGCCCTGATAGCTAACTGCTCTAAGAAACGGGCATCATCACTGCATGGTGGTGTACCACCTTTCTCTGAATAGTGATCTAGGACAGTGGAAGTGGAGAGAGGGTGCCGAAGGCCAGATTCACCGCAGTGTGCCACACTTAATAGAATTATTTGTTTGGAGCTGTGTCTTCTCAGCTAGGCCAATGCATACACCTTGGGACAGAGATTTTGCTCCAACTTTTCTGCCATGCCTGTGTGCCGAACACTTGTCAAGGGGTCAGTAGATAACAGACACAGGGTAAAAGGAGAGACTGCATCAAGTTGCTCCCCAAACATAGAGCAAGGGTCCTTCCAGCATGGGCTGTGACTCAAGACTCAAGACTGAAGGACACACCCAGGGCAGACTAGGGCCTGGGTGACACTCAAAGTGCAAACTCAAGGCAGCATCAGCTACCTGGGATTGGAAAGGTCAAGGGACAGACTGCAGTGCCCAGGGGGTGCTGCTAGCCATGACCCGGCTGTTCCCTTTCTCTCTCCTTTTCAACTCCTTCTGTCCTTCCCCCAGCCCCCATTTGCTTCCTGTGATTTGCAGAGCCAGGTGGGTGCGCTCTACAGGAGAAATGGAGCAGGGTCCTTCCTACCTTTGATTGCATCAACCTTGGGGAAATCAGGGCCCCCTTTCCCTTCCAGGCACTTGGACAGGTGTAGTGCGCCATGATTTCTAGAACTGTCCGTCCTGCAGCAATGTATTCCTGTTTAAAAGAGAGTTGTTTAAAGTCGGGCATGGGATGGTAGTGGGGAGTTAGGTGTCTGTCTCTGGGATTAGGAAAATATTCCACTTCCCATGAGCAGCTTCTGAGAATTCCTAGGCAGAGAGTGTGAACTTTCACTTTCAGTGTTTGTAGCTTGCAGCCTCAAACTTGAGATGGGAACCCCATGGATCTGAGTCTGGCCTCATCCATGCCAGAAAGCATTAGATTTCCAAGTCTTTTCTCCCTTGTCCCTGGCCTTTCTCCCTCCCTCTGCCCCTCTTCTCCAGCCTCAGAACAATAATCCGTCATGGTCATTGCTATCTCACTGGGTGTTTGCAGAGCACTCCACAGCCATTGTTGTGAGTTTTTCCTCTCATTTGCAAAGTACTTTACAGCTATTATTACAAGACTGTCCTCTTAGAGTGGAGAGATGCTGACCCACTCTCCAAGGTTGGATTCCCACTGCGCCCCAGTGGGTGGACCAGTGCCTGTGCTGGACAGGGGTGGGAATGGGAGACAGGCTGTCACCGGCTGGAGCCACACGGCTGGGCCCTCAACTTGCCCTCTGGAAAGTTACACCCTGTGCTTTTCCTGAGGAAGAGTAAGAGGTGCTGACTGGGGACTGGGCAGTCCTGCACCCCTTCTTCCCAGAAGTAAGCTCTAAGCTGCTGAGATGGGCTGCATTCTTCCCACTCCCTGGCCCTGGGCTGGGGCGAGGGGTGGGGAGGCAAGGGAAGTCAGACAGACGTAAAAACGCTCCCCTCTGTTGGGGATCAGATTCCTCTGTTTTCTAAATCAGAATTTTAAAAATCAGTAGTTACGATTTTCTAGACCGGCGCTTTCATGAAAGCAGAAGTCCCCACTAGAGTCCGTCCAGCCAAAGCTCCTGTCTTCTAGGCTCTGCTGCCCCCACTCTTCTGGACACCTTTGCCAGTCTGCACGCCAGAGTCAGCACTGCTCTCTTCCATCCCAGGTCTTCTCTACTGGCCACTTACAGTTTCCATGTAGGAGCTGGAGAGACGGCTGGGGGCTAAGAGCACTTGTTGCTCTTGCAGAGGACTGGGGTCCAATTCCCAGAACCCCCATGGTGGCTCACAATCACCAGTACCTCTAGTCTGAGGGGGGTCTAATGCCCTTTCGCCTCTGCAGGTACCAGGCACACATACACGGTACACATACATACATACACACATAGCTGCATGCATGTTGGCAAAATGCTCATAGGCATGAAGTAAATCTCTTTTTTTTTTTTTGAAATAAAAATTCCACATAACATTTCATTGAACTGGTCGGGTAGTAAGATTTCGTGGTGGAATATGTACACAGGTGTGCCTGGCTAGGCATCTTGAAGAAACACGGTCTTTGCTTCCTGCCCAGTTCCCTCCTTTGGCTCCCGAGCTACACTGACTGGTCTATTTGGGCTGGACTTGCACATTTCCTGTCCAAGACCAATGGTATCTGCCACAAATCCCGCACTCTGCTGGGAGTTTGAAAACGGAATGCTTCATCTTATCGCCCACTATTGATTCCTAGGTCCAGTCTGTTAAACTAGATCATTAGCGCCCCGAGAGCAAGGCACCCTCTTCGCTCCTGTGGCATCTGCTGTCCTGCTTCAATCACAGGTGTTTGGTAAATATTTGTGGGTGTCAAATACATATTTGCCAATGCCTGGCGACTTTATCTGGGTAGGAAAACAGTTGCTAGAAGGCAGAACCTGAGGTGTCCTTGCATGAGTTTCCCAGGTCAACCTTTGTGCTGAGTCCTCAGAGCGGGGAGGGGTAATTGAGGGACAGAGAGGATGTACCCACAGGCGCTATTCCCTCGATGATGTATGCACACGTGTATTGTACTCAGTGTGAAGAAAAGCGGGGCCTCCCCTCTCAAAAACAGCAACAAATCGCAAAGGGGTTTTACCAGAGAGCTTAAATGAACCAGAGTGAGACAGAGACCTGTGCGAGTATCTTTACCTGTGGGAGAGACGGGCTGAGACTTTGATGAGCTGAAATGAAAGGATCTCAGGTTTTCTTCTGTAGTACAGGGTGGTTAAAATGGATAAAGGTCCAGGCAAGGTGACATTGCCCACAGATCACGGGAAGCCGCTTGATGGTTAAATAGGAGCGTATTTTATACTCTTATACTCTGCCGTCCTTGGACTATAACTCTTTATCAAGATAAAGGGAAACAGAATCAAAGGACTGCAGTAGGTTTGGGCTAAAACAATGAGTAAAGCCCTTTCTTCCGAGGTGAGATTTAACCTCGTCTGTGGTCCTGGTTCAATTATGAGGCTGCAGCGCCATCTAGTGTACATGGCAAACAAAGGGCTGCCACCGCTCGTTCTCAACCCTGCTGGATATTGGCTCTGGGAATTCCTGGTCTTTCTACTGCTTTCGGAGGGCTGGAAAGGCAAGAGCAAGGCTGGCAGGCCACCGACAAGGTGCTGGTGCTGGCTACTGGTGGTGACCCAGCAGAGAGTAAGCCACGGACAAGAGTCACCTCTGGAGGCAGGTGACCTTGATGAAGGGCCTTCAGTGTAACACAGGTGTAAAAATAGCCTCTCGGTGCTGGCTTTGCTTAAGCTCCTGGCCTGAGCAAACAGCCCCTCACACCTGTAACATTGTTTGCTTGGTGTGGACACGCCGCCACCTTTTGCAGGTGTAAATGACTGTTTGCGTGCCCAGAGCTATGGGGAGGGCGCCCTACCCTCTTCCAGCCAACATTCCCTTAGAGCTGATTACTGAACAGTGGAGCTGGCAAAATGTTCAGCCTTAAACCCCAGGGCTGGGGCCTGAAGGAGCGGCCGACCTTTAATCCTGCCTTCGGAGGGGGTGCAGATGGCCTTCCCAGAGAAGAACTCAGCATTGCCTTTGGTGTCAGGACAAGGGCAATCTGGAGACCAAGGTGGCTATGCTTAGAGGCAGAAAACTTAGATAGCATGAGTCAGAGGGACTTCTGGAAGTTTCCAAGCAGAGTTTATATAGGTCAAAGGGAGTGCGAAAACCAACCCTACCTCTCTCACTCAGGCAATGAGAAGGGACACGAGGGTTTCACCAGTAAAAGGGCAAGTGAAAGGGTGACAGATGAAGGCAGCTTTCTTGTGGAGGAATGACACATTTGATGGACTCTATTAGGTGTCTTTAAGTGTGTGTGCCACATACAAGGAAAAAGAACAAAAAGCAAGATCACACATATACATTAAAAGTACTATCCTGTTACTGATAAAATACTCTGACAAAGAAAGGAAGGAAGGGAGGGAGGGAGGGAGGGAGGGAGGGAGGGAGGGAGGGAGGGAGGGAGAAGAGAGAGGAGGTTATTTTAGGTGACAAGTCCAGGTCCATCACTGTAGGGAGTCACAGCTGCAGGAGCTAGAGACAACTGTACACGCCGTGTTTACAGTCAAGAGCAGAGAGAAAGTGCATGCATACTTGCGCGCATGCTTGCTTGCTTGCTCTCCTTTTCTCTACTCTTGAACAGCTCAGGCATCCTTGCCTAGGGAATGGTGCTGCCTATGCTAGGCAGGGTCTTTCCATATCAATGAACTTAATTCAGACAATACACATGCTCACAGCCAGTCCCATGTAGGCCGTTCCTTGTAGAGACTCTTTCTTGAGGTGATTCTAGTTGATGAGAGTTGTGAGGTGACAAGTGGGCAATTCCAGCTAACCAGCACAGGAGGAAACCTAAGTGAACAATAAAGTTAAGAATGTAAATAGAACCCTCGTCTCCATGACCTAGAAACTCTCCTTCTAGGATAGAACTCGGAGTCGGAACTAAAAAACTCATCGCAGATGTATCTACAAAGAGACCCGTGTTTACAGAACAAATATCAGAAACTAGACAGAGAGATTAAGCAGTTACTGAAGAGCAGACGTCGGGGGGGGGCACATTTCAATGATGAACTAATATTATACCATGCTGAAATGAGTTTATAATACATTTCTAATGTGGTAACACATTAGGGCATTAGGCAAACAGAGCAAAGCAAGATAGGCTTTGCCATATCGCTTGACCTCAACTAGGCAAAAGTATGTGTCAACATAGACAGTCTCACAAAGGGTAGAATAAAATAACACGCTCACAAAATACAACATAGAAAGTCTCACAAAGGGTAGAATAAAACAACACGCTCGCAAAATACAACATAGAAAGTCTTACAAAAGATAGAATAAAATAACATGCTCACAAAATACTGACCCATACTTTCCTCACATGTTTCAATACTAATTCTCCTACAATGTAAATATATTTATCCAAAAAGAAAAAGAATCTGTATGATTTACTTTTGCTATGATTATGACTGTAATACCCAGAGAAATTGTTTAACAGAAGACAGATTGATTTTAGCTTATGATTTCATAGGGATTTGGTCTACAGTGGTGAGGGAGGTGTAGCAGAATGGATGGGATGACAGAATACTGTGGAGGTTTCTTGAAGTGCAGTAGACCAGGAGGCAATGAGAACAGGAATAGAACAAGGGGCCTGGAATTATAACCTTGAGCAGTCGACTTCTGCCAGGCAGGCCCCACCTCCTTATTGGGTTCCACAGTCTCCCAAAATAGTGCCATGGCTGGGAACAGATGTGCAAAACCTAAGCCTGTGGGGACGTTTCGTGTTCAAACCATCACACGGTCATAATTTTGAGAAGGAAAATGAAGAGAAAGGTCTGAGCGGGTTAGGTGGTTTGGTGAAGACTGGAGTGGCAGGATCTGGACTCGGAAGTGTCCCCTCTCACCCAGGGAGCGGATGACTTCCTCAGGCAGCTCTGCTGCACCTGGACGGCACACAGTGGCACCCGCTTGCCTTGCAGTACTGACCAAGGAAGAAGGAATCTTCTGGGGAGACCTCGGGCCCTGCGTTCCAGGTGAAAGGTCTCCGAGCAAACCAAAAGTAATCATTTGTGTTCCCTTTCTCCTGTGTCCTCCCCCAGTAGATATGTTTGATGACTTCTCAGAAGGCAGAGAGTGTGTCAACTGTGGGGCCATGTCCACCCCGCTCTGGAGGCGAGACGGGACAGGACACTACCTGTGCAATGCCTGTGGCCTCTACCACAAGATGAATGGCATCAACCGACCCCTCATTAAGCCTCAGCGCCGGCTGGTAAGCAAGCACCCCTATGGCGTAGGGCCAGTTGCCTGGAGAGCAGCCAGCTTCGTCCGTTTTCGCTGCACCAGACTTTGAGACTCTTGCCCAGCTGTAAATTTCGGAATTGGGGGATATGAGCTGAGGGGTTAGGAAGGAGGGAGCTTCTTACACCTTTAGAGTGAGCTTGGGCTTGCTTCAAAGATACTGGCCCAGCTAGTCCACCCTCATCACCCCTATCATGCGATAGCAGAAAATGAAGCTCAGAGAGGTGAGTGGCACCAGCCACAGGGAGCCAGATCCAGGTCTCCTTGATCTCAGCCCCTTTGTCTTGAAGGCCAACATAAACCAGAAGTTGTAATGGGGCCAGGTGTTTGCTGCCTGTGTCTCCTCTCCTCTTCTTCCTCTTCCTCCTCTTCCTCATCTTCCTCCTCCTCCTTCCCCTCCTCCTCCTCCTCCTGTCCTCCTCCTCCTCCTTCTCTTCCTCTTCTCCTTCTTCCCCCTTCTCTTCCTCTTCTTCTTCTTGCCACCTGACTCTGATCAACACCAACCCACTTTGGTGTATCCAGAGAAGGGAACTAGAGAGAGAGACACCCTGAAGCTTCCTCTTTGAGGCCCATCAAGTTCCTCTCCCCAAACACAGTCAGACACTGGCATCCATGAGCTCCACGTTGGGAAAGCCATGCTCTGCTGACAGTGGCCAGGCCATTCATACCGTACCCCGATCTATGTTGTAGTCTGCTTCCCGCCGGGTAGGCCTCTCCTGTGCCAACTGCCAGACCACCACCACCACGCTGTGGCGCCGCAATGCTGAGGGAGAGCCTGTGTGCAACGCCTGTGGTCTCTACATGAAGCTCCACGGGGTGAGTCAATGCCCTGCCCTGCCGTGCCAGACCTATGCCCCACCTATGCCCCCTCATGCCCTCAGCTCTGCCTGACAGGAGCCTCCTCCATTTCTGTTCTGCAGGTCTCACTTGTCTTTCCTCAAGAATAGAATCCACATGCTTCTTCTTTTACAAACCTTCACTTAATGTATGTGTGTGTGTGTGTGTGTGAGAGAGAGAGAGAGAGAGAGAGTTTCAATACCACAGCACAAACCTTCGTTTAATATGTGTGTGTGTGTCTGTGTGTGTAAGAGAAAGAGTTTCAATACCATAGTACAAATCTTCATTTAATTTGTGTGAGAGTGTGTGTGTTTCAATACCATAGCACAAACCTTCATTTAATTTGTGTGTGTGCGTGTGAGAGAGAGAGACAGAAAAAGAGAGAGTGTGTTTCAAGACCATAGCAGACATCTACAAAGGGAAATTGATATATTAAATATATTAACTTCCAACCCTTCAGGTACCCAGGCCTCTTGCAATGCGGAAGGAAGGAATTCAAACCAGAAAACGGAAACCCAAGAACCTGAATAAATCGAAGACAGCAGCAGGTGAGGAATAGATCCATGTGTAGACATGTGAACAAGTCAGGAATTCCCAGAGCATTCGAGAACCATGTCTGCCTCGGTAGGCTGCCAGAGTATGGTGGTAACCGCCTCCTCCATCCTCTCAGGACAGAAAAGAACCCAGCAAAGAAGCCAGGCCCATGAAGCCATAGGATGATTGCCCTGCAATAGACCCCTTGCAATAGACTGGCTGGACCAGTGTGCGGCCTGAGAGAGTGATGTTCATTGGCCCCGCCTTTAATGCTGCAATCAAAGCAGACAAGTTCTCGTTAGGCATGCTCCTGACAGATTGATCTGTAATTGGGGGTACATTAATGTCACGTAGAGCTCTGAACCGGCACAAATTCCTGCAGGGATCCCCTCAAGACCTGACAGAAGCAGACTGTTAGTCTGTCTTCCTAATAAGCAAACTGAGGCTCGAGGGTAATGGCTTAAAATCACATTAGTATTGGCTGGGATTTGGAATGCTGCACTCTGGGATCAATAGTCTGTTCAATATGTTGTTCTGTCTTCAGGGTTTCTATGTGGCTCAGAGTAACCTTGACCTCATGACCTTCCTCCTCAGCCTCCTAAATTGTAGGATTATAGGCGTGAGCCGCTCACTTAGTGGCAATGCCTTCTTAATTTCTAGATTAAGAAGAGGGTTACAGGGCTGGGGAGATGGCTCAGCCAGTTAAGAGCACTGGCTACTCTTCCAGAGGACCCATATTTAATTCCTGGCATCCACGTGGGGGCTCACACCTGTCTGTAACTCCAGTTCCAGGGCTTCTGATGCTCTCACACAGAGATGCAGGCGAAACATCAATGCACATAAAATAAAATAAATCACACATGAGAGAGATGGGGGGGGGTAGAGGGAGAGAGAGAAGAGTGTTACTAATGTCTCCTACCCAGAGCCTTCTGTGCTCTACGCTTCCAAATTAGGATTTGATTGGCTTCAGCAGAGGGAATGAATTGACTGATGTGGTGGACAGCTCACCTTCTCACCCCAGGCAGGCGGACTCACAAAAGCCATGGCCGGCATTCTAGGTTCCTACATTAAACAGGGACTTCCGGAAGAAGTATCTCCTACCTGAATCTTCTGCCACTCCTCTTTCCGCCTCCCGGACTAGGACCGCAGCAGAGCCCCTGGGCTCAGGTGTGGAGTCCTCAACTCCTAAGTCGGAATTCAGGACCATAAATTCTGTAGCAGGACCTGTTCTGGAGAGGCACGGGACATTGTCATCACCACTTCCCCCGAGCGGTGTTCACATTTTGCTAGAGAGAAGTTAATATAGTTAATTAGAGGTTGTTGTCCCAGAACCCTCTGGCAGTCTCCTGAAATACATAGTAATTACGTTGAAAAACTACGCTGAGAGCGTGGAATCCCCCACACAGAATGTGGTCTCCAGGGCTAATGGATCTAGGGTCATGAGGGCATCACTGAGTCTTTTGCAAAAGTTCCCTTAGGGCTGGGGATGTAGCTCAGTGAGTACTTAGCATGCAGGAAGCCCCGGCTTCAATCTCCAGCATTCCATACACTGGGCGTGGTAATCCTAGCACTCGGGAGGTGGAGGAGGCAGGAGTACCAGTTCTATGGCATCTTAACTACATAGTGAGTTTGAGACTAGCCTGGACTACAGTGGACGCAGTTTTAAGAACGTGAAATAGTCTCTTTGGAATTTTTGATGCTGCGGTCCATCAGAGAACCGCTGTTCTTCACCGTAAAGATTCCTACTTTTCTTCCCAGCCAATGTAACTAGGGCCTCCATGCCTGCAGCTGGACTGAGTTTTCTGACTCTGCCTCCTTGCAGGTCCCTCTGGCGAGAGCCTCCCGCCCACCAGCAGCGCCTCCAGCAACTCCAGCAACGCCACCAGCAGCAGCAGCAGCAGCAGTGAGGAGATGCGCCCCATCAAGACAGAGCCTGGGCTGCCCTCTCATTACGGCCACAGCACCTCCGTATCCCAGGTGGGTGTGGTGACGAGGCTAATAAGAAAGTAGATTCCGGATCCCTGGTGGCCTGCCCAGCCCTGGGAGGTGAGCTGTAGCCTGCCCCTGAGCCGTTGAGTTTCAAATAGCTCAGCCTCTGAGTCCTTGGTACCTCTTGTCCAGCTGCGGTGATTCGGACCCAAAGAATGCCACATATTTAGCATCTTCCCTGTGCTATGACCTGTGGGAACAAGGAGGAGGACGCAGGGACTGCACCCAGGATGCCCATGACAGAAAGCACCAACTATCCCCTGACTCAGACTTGGGTGTTGCGGTTAGAGGTTAGAAGCAAACTCCTCTAGAGTTGGAAGTACTTTGACCTTGGCCTTGAAGGCTTTTCGGGGACGGCAGGTTAGCACGGCTCAGGTTTGGGTGAGAGGTGGGCAGAAAGCCATCTTCATAAGTCCCAGCTTCCTGAGAGCCTCCAGAATGGCCCAGCCGGGGACCATGCCCTCTTGAAGGTATGATGGCTCCCAGTTCCTCTGCCTCTTTGGGGATGAGGAAGTCACAGTTTCCCCTTTTCCAGCCCCACTACCTCTAAGGGTGGGCGGTTGTCTGAGCATTCTACCTTCAGAGTGAACCGAACAGAACCTGGTTCCACAGAAACAAAAGTGCTAGGACCCCTTCAGGATGGAGAGGATGACCTCAATCTGACCCGGAAAGACCTCTATCTGACCCGGAAGTGGTGATAAGAGTGTCTCCTATGGCTGTCAGAGCCTTCTGAGAAAGCACAGCTGCACAAACCTCCTGGGTTATGGCCCTAATTACACTGTGCTCCGGAGCCCTGGGGAAGCACACAGACCCCTGCAGCTGGGCCCTGGGCCCTGGGCCCTAGAGAAGCAGCTGAGTGCTTACTCCCTCATCCTCTTCCCAGACCTGGTCCTTGGGCCCCCAGGGGCATCCTACTGACTCACCCTGCTTTCTGCCTTCCAGGCGTTCTCTGTCAGTACTGTGTCCGGCCATGGGCCCTCCATCCATCCGGTGCTGTCGGCTCTGAAGCTCTCCCCACAAGGCTATGCATCTCCGGTCACTCAGACATCACAGGCCAGCTCCAAGCAGGACTCTTGGAACAGCCTGGTCCTGGCTGACAGTCACGGGGACATAATTACCGCGTAATCATCCCTTCTCCCTCTTCAAATTCCTGCTCGGACTTGGGACCTGGGGGCCAGCAAAGTCTGAGGCTGGGGCATCCTGGCCAGCCCCTTCGTCTGGGAACAACTCCCGGAAGAACAACTGGGTAGAACTTGAAGTTGTTGACAATCGCTTAGGGATGTGGGTGCTGAGTTTCTTCAAACACCTTTTTCAGGTGGAGCCCTGGGTAGAGCCTGCGACCTTAGAGACACGCCCACCTTCACGCGAGCATGGCCCAATGAGGCTCTTCCCTGGAGCAGGAGATCTCTTTCTTGTTCTCCACCTGCCTGTCCAGGACAGAGACCTAATCTCCTTCACCCCAACTCTCCACCCCAGTGGTTCTAGGTAGTGGGTTTTTTTCTTTGTGCTCCTAGGGTGGCTGTAGGGTCCCAGGCTTCAAGACACTGTCTCCAGCCTGTGCAGGGTGTCTACTTGATGTGGACTGGACGTGGCAGCCCTGCCCTTGTCCAACACTCCCCTTGAGGCATGGCATATCCCTGCATGCCCCATACCAGATCTGACTCCAGAAGCGCGGGTGCAGTGCAGATGTTACTGAGTGCTCCCTGGGGAGACGGTGGCGAAAGCACATCACCCCTCACACAGGGTATGCATCAGATCACAGTCCAACTGTCGAGCCTTCCCTTCCCCCTCTCCCAGGAACTCCGGCATTAAACCCTTGCTCTCCAGCCGGAACATCTCCTATCCTCTGTAGAACTAGCGCTCAGTTGTGTAGCAGGCTAGGGCCATGTGGTGCTGTGCCTAGCATCCTTTTTCAACCCCTTCACACACAGGGGTTCCGCGGAGGAACAAAACCTGCTACCTAAGCAGCTTGGTGACTGCACTCATCGGCTGTGCTGTGTCTACAGCACAGCCCTCCCAGACTCCAGCTTGCTTGCTCTGAGCCTACCAGGCCATGGCCTTTCTCAAGTCAAATAGTCACCTGGATCTGGGCCTTTCTCCAGCCTGGGTCCTTTGTCTAGGAAACCCAGAGCGTTTGCAAGACAAATTCAAAGCAGGAAGAACCGACGGAGATTTGCGGAAGGACAAAGGTGGACAGATGGAAGATGGATGGAAGCCGTCTCAGGGCCTGATGGGATTGCCGTGCTTGTAGCTCTCCTAGAATTGGCCTTCTTCCCCTCCCCCATTCCTGGGGCCCCCAAAGATCCTTCCTTGTCCTCATCACCCCACAGAGCTGTAGCCAACTATGGCATGATCCATTGTACCCCCAAACTCCCAGCCCCTACCCCGAAACGTTACTGGCCGTAGCAGAGAATAGCTTTGAACCAAGATTGTTGTAATCATCCTTTACACCGTTTGCCCCCTGAAGGCTGCCCTCTCGTGCCTCCCCCTCCACAACCTGTTAACATTGTCTTAAGGTGAAATGGCTGTAAAATCAGTATTTAACTAATAAATTTATCTGTATTCCTCTTTTCCTCGAAATTCTTTTCTAGAAGTCCTGAGGCTCATGCCCTTTTCAGTAGACCAAAGGGCAGGGACTGTCTCTACCCAGTTTCCCCTTCAGGGCTTTGGCACTTGGCACCTTGGAGTTAGTGGCAGAGGCTGCTGGGGGAATGGAAGTGGAGGATCTCAGGACAGGCTCAGCTTCCTGGAGAGGGCGGGAGCAGCCGGAGCTGAAGCTACTGTCCCCACCTTCTATCCCCTGTGAGTGGAGCCATTTTAGAGCATTTGCCTGGGTACTAGCCTGTGCTTCCTTTAACTGAATGGTCCTCGGTCTCTCCTGTCTCCGGATGCAGGACACATTCTGAGTGGCCCCCAAGGGACAAATATCCCAGTGAGACAAAGACGGTTGCTTCCTTTATCCTCAGGTCACACCTGCCGATCTGCTTCACCTCAGAAATATGAGGAACGCGGAGCAATCGTTGGTCCTAAGACCGTGTGCCATTTGGTCCCTGCGGCATGGCTGGGCTTACATATCACCCACCTTCAGGTCCAGCTTATGCCACATCTGCCAGACATCTAGGGCCTCAGATCTCATGGCATTCTGGTTATTTTCTAGTAGTAATAACACACACACACACACACACACACACACACACGCACGCACGCACGCACACACACGCACACACACACACAATTCTATGTAAAACCGGAAGAATGTTTTAAAGTGTTTTCAAAATTATTTAGTTGATTGTGTGAAGGGGCACACATGCCACAGCACACCAGTGGAGGTCAGAACAACGTTTGGGAGTTAGTTCTCTCTTTTTCACCTCTACATGGGTCCAGGGTTCAAACTCAGGTGGTCAGGCTTGTGTGGCAAGCGCTGTGCTCATGTGACCTCTTTTTGTTTAATTTTGTTTTCCTTTTTGAGACAGAGTTTCTCTGAGCTGCTCTGGCTGTCCTGGAACTCATTCTGTAGACCAGGCTGACCTCGAACTCACAGAGATCCACCTGCCTCTGCCTCCGGAGTGCTGGGACGAAAGGTGTGCACCACCACGGCCTGGCTCAAGTGACCCAATCCTACTGGCCCAAGAAACACTTAACAACTCTTAAAAGAATAGCCGAACCCACTACTGTCAATCAGGTAAAGTGAGTCCTAGTAAGAAGAGAGATTCCAAATTGTCGGCCAAAGAGGCCCATGGGTTTTGTTAGGGCATTTTTGCTTAAAGCATTCACATTGTTTGGTTTGGTTTGGTTCTTTGAGACTTCTCTGTAGCTTTGGAGCCTGTCCTGGAACTTGCTTTGTAGACCAGGTTGGCCTTGAACTCAAGACCCGCCTGTCCCTGCCTCCCAAGCGCTGGGATTAAAGGCATGCACCACCACCGCCCTGCATACATCACTTCTCTTTAGAAATGGATTTCAGAACAAAATTCTACATTGTCTCAGCAGATGCCTCTTTCTGCATACACTCTCTCCAGTAAGATAACTGGCCTCTTGGATCATCAGACTTATTGCCTTAAGGAAGCCTGAGTTGTTGCAGCCAAGAGACTATAAAAGATGCAGACGGGCCTGGTCGTGAACATTATCTCAGTCATCATCGACAACAACAAAGATGCATTTCCAAATTGTTAGGACACGTTTGGGAGGAGGGAGAAGCGAGGGAGAGGGTACAAAATGATGTCATTAGGATAAATCACTTTCTCAAGGGACAAGTCTACATAACAAATCACATGGCGTTATGGTCACACTTTTGGCTTACAAAACCTTCTGGAAGCCAGGTTAAGTCCATAGGCAGTCGGATATGCATTGGCCCCAGCTTCTGAGCAGGAGGCAGCTTAGCTGTGACCGGGTGTGGTTGGGTTGATGGCAATGGCTACAAGTTTCTCATCACTCAATTTGCACCAAACAGGGCCGGAGGATTATCAGGAGGAACCCCTGTCCTCAATGCTTGGCGTGCTGACTGTGTTTGTCACCTTTCCCTTGCCATAATTACCTTGGGATAACTGACATGAAGGAGAAAGGTTTAGACTGGGGCTTTACCTTCATTAGTAAAGTGCTTCCCTAGCATGCATGAAGTCCTGGGTTCGATCCTCAGCACTGCCTAAACCAGGTGTGGGATACACCCGATACCCCAGCACTCACAAGGCGGAGGCAGGAGGCTCACACGTTCAAGACCAGCCTGAGTTCTTAGTCTCTGGTGTAGTCTGGGGTTGGAAGGCTGTCTGTCAGATTAACCATCACACCTGTCTAGGGTGCCCTAATGCTTGGTGGGACAAATGGAGCCCGAAGAAAGCCTTAGTTTAATGAGGGCTGGATAATTTCTGCCAATCCCTCCATCCCTTTCTGGAGGTACAAGCCTATGGGAGTTCAGTGGGGTTACAGGGGTTCAGTTGCTAAGAATGAGTGTGTCAATGGTCTCCAATAGACGGCATGGGAGAGTTGAAGGCAATCTAGCTACAAAAAGGAAAGTCAGATCAGAGGGGTCTCAGGGTACATCTGACGGTCCAAATGCTTTAATGTTGCCATCCAAGGAACTTCCTTATGGCCACAGCTGGTGGGAGAAAGACGCATTTACTGGACACCACCCCCCACCCCGCCTAGAGAGCAAGGAAGCACTGTGATTGCAGTTCACACATTCACCACGTGGGGGCGCAGGCATTCTCGTCTCCCTTTCCACGTCTGTTATAGTTGGTTTTCCAGCTGTTAAATCTGAGGTCAACCCCAACCCAACTTTTCTACTCAAAAGCATTACTGCTTATTGAGCACTACTGAAGGCTAGACAATTGACATCCTTATCAAAACATTTTTACATCTTTGCAATCATGTTTTGCAACAAAGATTAATCAACACTTAAACGTTTCCAAGTGACTCATACACATACCAGAGTTTGCGAAATATGGCTTTACGTCTGTAACGCTGTGGCATAGATGTCCCATTTAAACACCAGATTTAGGTATTGTGGCCGGCTTGTTTTCCGACAGCTAACAACGAGGCAGTCTACGTAAAGATTTTCCAAGGTGTCTTACACACAGCGTGTGCTCAGTAAACTAAAATGGCGATTTTAAGTGACAGCAGCAAATTGTGAACAGTTCGCTTTCTCAGTTGTAGCATTCCTCGGTCTCAGAAGAGAACTCTTAGGTGCACAGCTCTGATTCCACCAGATAAGGCGGGATTTGGGCTATGGCTTCTATCCAGCACAGTCAGTCTACAAAATGGTGTGTGTGTGTCCCGCACGCGTGGAAGCTGCCACCGGAATGCACTGAATCCTGTAGCAGATGTGATTCTCCGAAGAGACCAGCTGCAGAAGTGGGAAACCATACTCCAGTACTTATACATTAATAGGGACCTCCCCCCTCCTTAAAATGCTGCCCCCTCAAGCTCACCTTCTGCCCCTAAGGGACCTTTGCCCTTCGGATGTCAGAGGCCTCCTCTCCTTTCTTCTGCTCTCTGACCTGCAGCAGGAACTATGGTGAAAGACTAGCTGAGCTACTCCTTGAGGCAGGACTGTCTTCCCTGTGCTGGCCAAGTCCTCTTGGGGCCCTCAGTTGCAAGGTCCAGGGGCTGACACCCTAGCCACCTCCTGTAGGCCTGCTCGGAGTTCGCCAAAGGTCCGCTAGCTTCCTGGAAAGTGCTGGCTCCACCCTTCTTGAAGTCCTAACTATCGTTGAACAACCCGCTACCATCTTTATTCTTCCAAATAAAAATTTCAATACACAATTAAAAAAAGTTTTTTAAAGCACATAGTAAAAACTCAAACACTATGAAAATAATATAAAGTAAAAACTAACTTCATTCTTTAAAAGTTTTTCAGGCCGGGCGTGCTGTGTTTAAAATCCCAGCACTTTAAAGACTAAGACCGGAGGGTCACCCAGGAGTTCAAGGGTAACCAGGGTGCCACAGTGAATTCCAAACCAGCCCGCATTTTACTGTGAGGCTTTTTCTCATAAAACCAAAACCTCCCAGAAGAGTGCGGAGGACCGGAAACGTCTGTCTTGGCCTGTACCCTGTGAAGACCACCAGCACCTGAGCGCTTGCCTTTTCTTGGTACCAGTCCATTCTCCCCCAGACTCTGGGAGTTGGCAAGCCCGCGGGGAGTCGTGGGGAAGGAGGAATAGAGGGGTGTGGGTGCCGGGGAGCAGGCGAATAAGCTTCCAGCCTGCCTCGAAAGAGCGGAAGCTGCCCAGGGAGAAAGCTGCGTCTCCAGTGGTTACCACAGGAAGAAAACCGCAGCATCCTTCCTACCTGTGGGAGGAGCCTGAGTAGAGGAGCCCGCAATTCCCATCCCGAGGTGAACCCTGTCTCCAGCTCTTCCAGGAGAGAAGATCGCAGCTCTCCGTCCCGGGGCGAACCCCACCTCCAGCACTCCCAGGGGAAGAGCTTGTAGCTCCTCCACCTCGGAGGGTCCCCATCTCCAGAGCTCCCTGGAGAGAAGCCCGCAGCTCCCCACCCACCTCCAGGACGAGCTGGGTCCCTAGAGGAGCCCTGGAGTCCCGGAAGCGGTTTCCTGCCTATCCCCGGGAGGAGCTCTTCGGCTCCGGGCCGCCGGGCCACCTCGCCTCCCTCAGGCTGAACTTGTCGTCCCTCGTCCCCGCATCCGTGTCCTCCCCACCACTGTCTCCCGTCTGGAACTGGAAAGCGCGAGCGGATTGCGCTCCCGCAGCAGCCGCTGGGACCCGGTTTCGTAGAGTACAGCTAGCTCTGCGGGACCCGCCTGGGCGCACCCCGGCCTCCTCCACCCCCTCCCGGGGCCGCACACGTGCACGTTGTCAACACTTCTTTTTTCTTTTTAACCTTTGGTGAAAAGTCAATTACAGAAAAATTAAGCAACCTCTCTTCCGGTCACGCGCAGCCAGGTCGCACGTTTGTTTTTGTTGATCACGTTGCCTTCCGCCGTCCCTGGCCCTCGTGACCTTCACGTGTTCCCTCCCGCTTCAATCATTCTGAAGATTTGAGAAACGCAGCTGCCTAAGACTCAGCCTGGAGGCTGGACGACAGGGGCCACGTCCTGCACAGCCTGACCACCTCGCCCTAGAAACGAAGCCCAAGGTTCTCATTATCTTATCCCTTTCCTGATCACCAAAGCATGCCCGTGGGCGGGGTTGTTGTTTGTTTTGAGACTATGTAGACCAGGCTGGCCTCAGTTCTCTTGAGATCCTCCTGCCTCTGCCTCTGGGGCTGCTGGGATTAAAGGCTTGCACTACCACATCCGGCAGGCGGTAGAAATTTAAGATTACGGTGCATTGTACAGGCGGACTTTTCCAGAACTTTCTCTGACGGAGGCGGGGGAGGGGGGTTTCTTAGCTGAGAGATAATTTGGATTCCAGTGTCTGGCAAGCCCCCTTCCAGCCCAGCAGTTTCCCCTGAAGGTCTGAGTAGTTGAACTTTTACCACGTTTCCAAGAGTGTGGGTGGAAATCCAAGTGTGGATGAATTTAAATATTGCACTGAAGCCTGAGACTTAGCACAGTTGGTAGAGGGGTTGCTTAGCTTGCAAGATGTCCTGGGTTTGCGCATAAACCAGGAGTGGCCATGCAGTTCTGGAATGACAGGGCCATGGGGTGGAGACCATCCGTACACAGAGGGCTATGGGCCAGCTTGGCATCTGGAATATAGGCAAAAAATATGAGCAAAAAAAGACAGAAAAATAGCATTATTGAAGGTGTTGCTTATGAATTATGAGAATTTGTGGGGTGTCTAGGGTATCTCGATTTTCTGGTTAAAATCAGTTTTAAGTGTCTTAGAGGGGAGGGAGGGAGTTGTATGTGGCTCCCACTTGTAATCCCAGTGCTCACATTGGGGAGACTCAGACAGGAGGATTGTTCAGAGTTCAAGACCAGCCTTGGCTACAGAGTGAGACTTAAAAAACACCACCACCAAAACAAAACAACAGAAAGCCAACAACCAACCCGCCTTTCGAAACACTGAAATAACTACCTGCTGTGTGCCTTTGATAATTTTCACCATGGTTTATGGAGTCTGGGGCTGGTGAGTGGCAGATAAGGTTAGGCGGAACCTTGGTGGGTAGGGCAGCTCCCACTCAGCACAGTCAGGATGTAGACCACTCATCCTGGTGGCTCTCAGTGACTTTGTTTTTTATTTATTTATTTATTTATTATGTATACAATATTCTGTCTGTGTGTATGTCTGCACACCAGAAGAGGGCACCAGACCTCATTACAGATGGTTGTGAGCCACCATGTGGTTGCCGGGAATTGAACTCGGGACCTTTGGAAGAGCAGGCAATGCTCTTAACCACTGAGCCATCTCTCCAGCCCCCTCTCAGTGACTTTGAATGATTAAGAACAGAACAGGGAGGCAAGGGGTGGCAGGCAGTCCTGCCTTGCGTTTACTGTAGCTCTTCAGCCATCGGGCGTGTTATCAGACCTCAAGCTGGTTGGTAGCCTCCTTGCCTGGCTGGTGTCAGCTTGTCACAGTTCTGAGCTCTGCCAGTACTGTAGTCCTGTAGAGAGAACCACTTTTACTGATCTCATAACTAGTGCATCTCTCCCTCCCCTGGGGTGGTCCTGGGAGAGCCAGAGCCGAGGATGGGTAAGTGAGCAGAGGATTGGAGTGATTGCTTTGGGGGTGGGATTGGGAAAGACAGAGAAGGCATGGAGATGACGTAGAGGTCTAATATACCCTTGCAAAAAGTAACAGGGAGGTGTTGCATGTTTGTAATCCCAGCACTTGGGAGCCTGAGGCAGGAGGAGAGCTGTCAGTCTTGAGGACAGCTAGAATTACACAGTGCCAGCTCACCTATAGCTACATAGTGAGACTCTTGACTCAAGAAGCCAAACAAATAAGGAGTGGGTAACCACTGAGGTGGCATTGACTTTGAATCAGACCATGCCTGATACATGACATCAAGTATGCGATGTTGGTTCTATTTGCTGCATGGATAAGGATGAGGGACCAGGAAGAGAAGCCAGAGCTCCAAAGCTGGGCCTTATCCTGCCCCAATTCAGTTGTCTCTGAGATGTGACTCCTCTCACCTCAGTCAGGCTCCCATTTTGGCACGTACACCCTTAAAGTGGGTGACCCAAATTCGGTCCTTGGGGTACCACACCATCAGATATGCTCTAGAGGACCGAGCTAAGTCATTGTGGTCTTATTTGCCACTGTCTACCTGCAGAGATGCCGGAAGGGCCATCTGTGAGGAAGTTTCACCGCCTTGTCTCCCCTTTCGTGGGCCAGAAGGTGGTCAAGACAGGAGGCAGCAGTAAGAAGCTGAACCCTGCCTCCTTCCAGTCTTTGTGGCTCCAGGATGCCCGGGTGAGTTTTGCTTTCCCCAGATCTCAAGCATGCTGGCTCACCCCACCTCCCCTGGAGGCATTTAGCCAAGATGTTTTATGACTTCTTTTCTTTCAGCAGTGGACAGCAATGCTAGGACCGCATGTGGCCCTGCAGTGTGATGTTTCCCGTCACAGTGGACTGGGGTCTGGAAAGAACATACTAAAAGGGCCATGCATAATCTGGAGAACTTCTCTCCTTTCTCACCTATGTCTCTGGTGTAGTGCCACTGGCCCCCGCAGGCCAGCTGTGAAAGAAGGAATGAGCACCATTGAAGATTGGGATTCACACCCTTCTCATCCTGAATGGGAATCAGAGTTCCTTCAGGGGCCTCAGGGACTCCATGTGCACTGACCCCTGACCCCTCCCTACCTGTCTCTCCGGCCTTTCACCCAGCCCCAAGTCTTTCTTTGCATGTGATAGCTCGGTTAGTTCTTGCCCTCAGTGTAGACATGTTTCCCCTGCTTGGGCACATCCTCCCTTTTCCTCAACTGTTTCCACTCCTGCCTCTTCAGTTCACCATGGCAATGTTAGCCTCCCTTCAGATTCCACTTGGTCACGCTGTCCTGTCTGCTTTGCGTTGGCGGAGAGATGACTCCTCTGTACTCCTGCAATACCCTCGACTTCCTCCTGGTGCATCCTTCTTGCAATGTCTGTCCTTTGTGGTATGTACAGAGACAGAAAGAGGGCAAGGCTGTGTTCTTGTCAATCTTGTATTCTTGCTTAGTTATGAGCATCTGCACGCAGGGGTGAATTTTGTCCAGTAGCAATTGGTCCCTGCTGTGGCTGCTTAGCTGTGTGATCTGAAGCAAGTTCTCATTGTCTTTGCTCTCATTTCTTCGATTGCATATGGGGCATAAAACCCTTTGTGGTGGTTTGATTGAGAATGGTCCCCATAGGCTCAGATATTTAAATACTTGGTCATCAGAGACCAGAACTCTTGGGAAAGATTAGGACTGGAGGCCTTGTTGGAGATGTGGGCTTTGAGATTTCAAAAGCCCATGCCAGGCCCAGTCTCTCTCTCTCTCTCTGCCTGCTGCCACTGCATCAGGATATAAAGCTCCCCAATACTGCACCATGCCTGTCTGCTCCCTGCCATGATGATCATGGGCTAACCCTCTAAAACTGAAGCAAGCTACCAGTTCAATGTGTTCTTTTATAAGAGTTGCCTTGGTCAGTGTGTCTCTTCACAGCAATAGAACACAGACTAAGACATACTTGTTTGTTAAAACCCTTGTAAGAGTAGACTTTACAACCCACACACAATACGAGTCCCTGCTAGATTATGAGTTCTCTTCCATTTTATATACGTGCATGCATATGTGTACACACGCTCCTCATAGGCTATGGAATCATCCTTTGATTGGAAGATGTCTCATAGCCCTTCCCCTATAGTTCATCACTGGAAACTGAGACTCTGAATTGTCCAAGTTTAAGGGTTCGGGTCTTCCAGACTTCAGGCTCTTTGTAGAGACTGTCCCACGTTCGGGTCCCATGGCTTTGGTCCTCCAGCACTTATAATGAGAGTTGTCATAGAGCTGGCACTTACACATCACTGAATAGATTTGGAAACAGATAAATGTATGGTAGGGGATCTGGAGATGCAATGGATCCTGTTTTATAGGAAACAGAGGAGACGTCCATGCTGTAGAAACCCTAGAGAGACCTGAGCTTGGGACTGCCAGATGGTGCTTCTAGGGATTTTTCATCCAAGGAATGTAGATTTAGGTAGGGAAGGAAGGATTGGTATTTTAATAAGAAAACTGCCCAACAGGACTAAATGGAGAGAATCATAGCTGTAATTAAGGCCCAGTAATGCCTTGACATGAAGGGGTCCTTCTGTCCTGCTGGAGATGGGACTTGGGATGGTCCTTGGAGATTAGAGGATATAGTTATACTTCAGGGGAGAAGATTGTGCAAGTGTGCGTGTGCACGAGTGTGTATGCATGTGTGTGTAGGACATAACATATGTACAAGGATGCATGCATGAGTATACCTGTACATGTGGAGGTTATCAGTTGCTGTTGGGGTTTCCCCGCAAGAGTTCTCATGTTATCTTCTTAAACAGCATCTCTCACTGAGTGTGGAACTCATCACTTGGCTAGACTAAGTGACCAGTGAGCTCCAGGGATTCTCCTGGCTGCACCTCCCAGTGCTGGCATTACGGGCTTAACCTGCTGTACTTAGCCACCAGCCTCAAGCTCTTCTCCCTCTGCCAAGTTCTTGAGGCCTCCCACCCTTGGGCTTGTCTAGAGTCAGAGTGGGTGGGATTCAACAGGGCAGGTCCCTGCGTCTCACTGTTCCGCATGTGTTAGCATCCCGTACCTGCTTCCCATTTCACAGAGGGATGCCTTGTCTCATCTGCTGCTTGAGTTTACCCACTGAGCCATCTCAATGGCCTGGATCTTGAGCTCTCAATCCCCCTGCCTCAGCCTCCTTAGTGTTGAGATTACAGACGTGAGCCATCACACTCATCGGATTATAGTTCTTTGTTTTGTTTAGTTTGTGAGTTCTCCTGTGGTTGGTAACTTTTTCCAGGTCCAGTTTGCTGGGTGGGGGATGCTTCTGGGTCTTATGACGTTGTTTCTTTAGCTGTAGTTGGGCTGAGTGTGTACATGCTGGTTCACCCTAGCCTAGAAAAATGTGTCATGAAGTCAGGAGTAGCTATAAATGAATGAGCATTTGGATAATCTCTAGTGAGGTCCTGAAGTCTTTGGAAACATCTGCCCTTGGATGTTCTGGGTGGCCTTGCTGTCTGGCATCGACCTATCCCATTACTAATCTAACTCCTCCAATTACCTTCAGGCATTTGGAAAGCCATTCACCTGCTGTTGACACCACTGGGGCAGAAGAGCAAAGGACAGAGAAATCCTCTGTGCTCGGGCAAGCTTTGGGTGAGGAGAAGGATCCAGACTGTTGGCAGAAGCTTTTTGTGAAGCTTTGGCGCCTGTGTAGGGCTCTAAGGACCAATACATGTTCATTTTTTTTATTGTTGTTTTGTTTTGCTAGGTGCATGGAAAACAATTATTCCTTCGGTTTGATCCAGAGGAGGAGATGGAGCTACTCGGCAGCAGCCCTCAGCCTGTACAAGGAGTGTGGCAGAAAGAGGCCCAGGACCCAGAGCTGGCCCTGGGGCCCCATGCTCAGGAAACTTCTGCAGGCCCCTCTGGATCTGGGGAGCCTGTGCCTAGTGGATCTGATGATCCCTGTGGTCCTGGGGGACACAGCCTGTTAGCAGTTGCCCAGAGATGGCTAGAGGTCAGATTTGGTTTGTTTGGCAGCATCTGGGTGAATGACTTCTCCAGAGCAAAGAAAGCTAACAAGAGAGGTGACTGGAGAGACCCTGTGCCTAGGTAATGATGTGACATTGACAGGGCTCCTAATAGGGTTTTCAGTGTTCATACGGTCCCCTCTGTGGCAAGGCAGTGGCTGAACAGTCGCACTTGGGGACGGCCAGACCTTGCTATCCAGGAAGCAGAGTGTGTAGGTGGAGTTTTTCTGTCCCACCCACCTGCTCCCACAATAACCTCTCAGCCTTATTATTAATTATAATTAATTGACCAATAACTCAGACTCATTACTAACTAGCTCTTACAACTTAAATGAACTTATTTCTATTTCTCGTTGTGCTACCCCAAGATTCATGGCATTTACGTCTCTGGCATGTCCTGCTTACTCTCTGTCTGACTGGCGACTCCTCTGCCTCTGTCTTTCTTCATCCCAATATCCTTAGTTTGGTTGTCCTGCCTATGCTTCCTGCCTGGCTATGGCCAGTCAGCTTTTTACTAAACCCATTCAAGTGACAATTTTTTACAGTGAAAAAGGTTTATTCCATAGCAAGTAAGAGGTGTATATTCACCCTTAAGAACTAGGACTGTGGTCTGCACTCCAAAAGATTCTAACTGCCTGGGTCACTGAGAGAACAGAGTGGGTTTCCAGCCAACATGACACTTGAGGGTGAACTGACTCAGAAGAAAAGTATATCTAGACTCTTAATGGGGCATGGCTTTCCCTCTTACTCGGTTTGTGAACACTGAGGACTCTGTTTACGTATAAAGCTTATGTGTAGGATTATTTCCTTAGAGTCAGTTCCCAGTTGCTTCCGGAAGGGAATGAACATTCTCATGGCTAGATTTGCTCAATCCTTACTGGCTTTGGGCTATTTGTATACATGCTAGCAATAACAAGTATCTATTTCATTATTATTGCATGAGTACGTGTGTACATCCCAGTGTGAAGGTCAGAAGACAGCTTCTGGGAGCTGATTCTCTCCTTTCACTGTGGGTCCTGGAAATCAAACGCAGGTTAGGATTTCATAGCAAGCCTGCTAGGTCAACTCAGCATCCTGATGCTGACATTCTTTAAACTCTGAGATACTAAGTCTGGTAGCCTGTGTTGTCAGGATTGTTTCCAGGCCAGTGTGCAGCCTTTGAGTGCGTTTATAAAGCATTTCGGCATTCAGGGTTTTTAAGTTTTTATGGTCAATGGTCACGTGTAACTTTGCCTTTTAGCAAAAGATTCCACTTCCAGCGAGTCACACAGGTACTCTGGTTTATGTTTGATGGGTTGTTTTGTGGCACTGTGCAGTGTTGCTAAGCAAGTCCTCTGAGCCTCACCTCCAATCCTTGAAAAAGTATTTTTTATTACACTTATTCATTTTGTGTGTGTGTATGTGTATGTGTGTGTGTGTATGTGTAAGCATATGCATAAGCCATATTGTGTTGAGATCAGAGGACAACCTGCAGCACCTGGTTCTGTGGGTGGGTTCTGGAGCGTGTGGTCCTGGAGATGAAGCTCAAGTCCTCAGGGCTGATGGCAAACACCTTTCCCCTCTGAGCCATCTTGTTGGCTCTGGCCATTGAAAACAAGAAAGCAAGAAATATTGCTGTTATTTATAACAAGAGTCTTCCTATATTGCCTAGGCTAGTCTCGAATTCATAATCCTCCTGTCTCAGCCTCTCCGAGTGCTGGGATTACAGGCATTACCACAGTGCCCACCTCCTAGCTTTCTGAAGTTTTCTCTGCCCTTCCTAAGAACACTAACTAGGTCAGCCATGGACTCGGGTTCTCCTGCTTCCATGTGGAGACAGATCTGTTGGATTAACTGTCCCTACAAAGTATCCCATTGTTTCCTTACCAAAGTGTGAGGTGTCCTTTCTGTCCTTACATTCAAAAGGCTCAGGGTGTGTAGGAGACATACACACGTATCTAGGTTAAGCCAGCCTGAAACTGGGAGTGGTGCCCTCTTTGCCACCATTTCTGCATCTGCTCCCTAATGCACCTGCCCACCTCTGGTCAGTTTGCCACTAACCTGGATTCAGACTTACAGCTTTTCATGTTTCTGTCTGTCAAACACGTATTGCTACAACGTAATTAGAAAACAACATATATGCATGGTTTACTTCATTCCATTTGGCCCTGAGATGTTTATGATTCTGACCATGGAACCTTAACTTCCCAGTTTGATCCAGACTAGTCTAGAAACTTAATGAACAGTCTACCTGATTGCTGTCGAGGAGAAATTGTGTGTGTGTGTGGTCTGTCCAATGGTAACTGTGTATAAATGTGATCTACATAGTGGTCATTGTACGCACATGTGATATAATTATACAGGGGTGACTATATGATGATGTACATTAACAGTTGCATGTGTGAGATGGTTATATTATAACTATACATACATGTGAACTGACTCTATAGGGGTCTGTTTATGTATCATGAACTGACTGTATGTACATTGGTGGCTGTAATGTATGATCTCATTGTATGTAAGAACACTGTATGTACGATCCCATCTGTCTCTTCAGGCTGGTACTCCATTTTGATGGCGGTGGCTTCCTGGCATTTTATAGTTGCCAGATGTCGTGGAGTCCTCCCCCAGAGGTTGAGCCCACCTGCGACATCTTGTCTGATAAGTTCCATCGAGGACAAGCCTTGGAAGCTCTGAGCCAGGCTCAGCCTGTGTGCTATACGCTATTGGACCAGAGATACTTTTCAGGATTAGGTATGACTCGTGCGATGGGGAGGAACCCCACAGCTTTCTTAATGGGAAGTCACGCATCTGTAGGGCAGTCAAGACTTGAGGGCTCCTATCCCAGTTGTGCTGACACTCCTGGTTTTGAGGTTGGCTCAAGCATCCCTAGATTTTAGACTCAGAGGTCGGATTAGGTGGTCCTCACTTCTCTGTCTGGCCCAGCATTCACGTGATAGAGTTTACTGCTCTAGAGGCAGTGGGACCTGGGTAAATGGAGCCAGTGAATGAGACAGACTGAAGTTTCATGCAATAGCCAAATTTATTCAGAGCATCAGACAGCTTGACTCTGAGGGCTAAGAGGGGTCACCCAAGTGATGTTCTCATGAGTTCAAGCTGTATTACAATCACAAGGACAAGCCACAAAGCGTAAAAACATGGTTTTCCACAGAGGCCTAAACAAATCACAATAGGCAGTTGTAATGAACAATGAAGTAAACACACGCTTATCTCCTATACCTGAGGGACGCATTGTAGTGAGGAGCTGCAGGCAGGCCTGCTTTTCGTCCCGCACAGCTCCAGCACGGCTAGCTTAGCCCCAGAAATAACAACACACAAATTGTATTCATTTAAACACTGCCTGGCCCATTATCTCTAGAGAGTTAGTTGCTGGCTAACTCTCACATCTTGATATTAACCCATTTCTAATAATCTGTGTAGCACCATGAGTTGGTGGCTTACCGGGAAAGATTCAGCATGTCTGACCTGGTGGCTGGCTCCGTGGAATCTACCTCATTGCCCTCTTCCCAGCATTCTGTTCTGTTTACTCCGCCTACCTAATTTTCTGTCCTATCAAAGGGCCAAGGCAGTCTCTTTATTAACCAATGAAAATAACACATAGACAGAAAGCCCACCTACATCAATGCATGAACATACATTCCAAGAACTCTGTTTTGAAGAAACTGGGGGCACAAGACTCTTGTGTTTTTTTGGTGTGTGTGTGTGTGTTTTGAGTTTTCTCACAAGTCCTCAGAATTTTCCTCATGTGACTCCATTCTTTTTTTTAAAAAAATATTTATTTATTTATTATATATACAATTATTTTGACTGTGTGTATGCCTGCAGGCCAGAAGAGGGCACCAGACCTCATTACAGATGGTTGTGAGCCACCATGTCGTTGCTGGGAATTGAACTCAGGACCTTTGGAAGTGCAGGCAATTTTCTTAACCTCTGAGCCATCTCTCCAGCCGTGACTCCATTCTTGAACTGTGTTCTGACATGACAGAACTGTCAGTTGTGAGCCTCCTGATGGTGTATTAGTGTCACCTAACACGGTGATAATGTCTTATACCTGGTATCCTCTAAAGCCTGGTGACCTCTGGAGCATATAGAAGATTCTGGGCCATGACATGCCATGAATGGTTGTCCTTAAGGCCATCAGAAGAGAGGAAAGTGTGTTCCTACACACCTTGGGTGGTGGAGCTTCCTGCTGTCAAACCAAGAGGCAAACATCAGGCCAGCTCCCAGCTCTTAGAAGGCACGAGAACTGAGTGGTGAAACTGGGCATTTCCAGTCGAGACAAGGAGTGTGCTGTGCTTAGGTCCAGGGAGGGCAGCCTTCTTGCTGCCCACAGGAGAGCAAGCAGTGAGTGCTGCACAGCTGGCAGTTGCTATTAGTAGAACTGCGCCCTTCTACAAAGTGTGACTTTGCCTGCCACGGGTGCGGCTCACTATAGCAAGGTGGGAAAGCCTTGTGCTTTCATGGGTGAACCAGTTTCTATGCCAGAGGAGCAACGAGGCTTCTAGAAGCAGCTTTTGGAGGTATACGGAGAGCGGTGACAGCCAGCGCAACTCACATGACTCCAGCGACCCAGGCACACGGTCCTGGCCCCAGGCTACTCCATGAGATAATCGCTTGTTAGCTTTCTCTTTTATCCAGATGAGGAAACTAAAGCAAAGGGCACCTTGCTGGTGAGAGGCGCAGTTGAGCTGAGTCCAGGGAGCCTGCCACTCAAATTCACAGAGAACCTGTAACTGGAAGTGCAATTGTGAAACTCTTGGGGGTGGGGGGAGCACAACTGTTTCACCCATTGCCACCGTGTGTCATCGGGCTCACTCTCCTCTCCTTAGCAAGGTCATTGCTCGGTGGCCCAGCAAGCTGGTCTCCACTCATCGCAACTTAGGTTGCGAGCTAGTGTGGTGGCACACATCTTTTACTCAACACTCGGAAGATGGAGGAGGCAGGAGGATCACGAGTTTAGCCTAGGCTCCATAGTGAGTTTGAGGTTCTGTTGACAAGAGTGTTTCCTAACCCCATGCCTCTCTTTGTTTTCAGGGAACATTATAAAGAATGAAGCCTTGTACAGAGCAGGGATCCATCCTCTCTCTCTCGGTTCGCTCCTGAGTTCTTCCTCTTTAGAGGCCCTCGTGAGTCATGTGGTGGAGTTCAGTTCAGACTGGCTTCGGGACAAACTCCAAGGCAAGGAACAGCACACACAGATCTACAAGAAGGAGCAGTGCCCTTCTGGTCACCAGGTTATGAAGGCGAGCTTTGGGCCCCCTGGTAGACTCCAGAGGCTTACCTGGTGGTGCCCTCAGTGCCAGCCCCGGCTGCCATCCGAGGAGCCGTAGAATCTGCTGTCGTCGTAAAACACTTGGCCATCTTCATGGAACCTGTAGCCTTGAAGATCCAGATACCATGTGTCCTAGAGAAAGGTGTAGGCAGGACTCGTATGACAGGATGGGGATGGGGTCCGGAGGGTCAGTATTGTTGACATTCATCTCATTGGATTATGCATCAGCCACAACTTTCAGGGGGATAGATGTTTTCCTTTTCTGGTTAATTCTGTATAATCCCACCATGTTGTCAAAATCCTGACAGAGGGTTGGAGAAACTGCCTGGAGCAGCAGTGATCCGAAAAAGAATGACTGGGGAACAGCTGGGGGTGGGAACAGCTGGGGGACTGGGAACAGCTGGGGTTGGGAACAACTGGAGGACTGGGGAACAGCTGGGGGACTGGGAATAGCTGGGGGTGGGAACAGCTGGGGACGGGGAACAGCTGGGGTTGGGAACAACTGGAGGACTGGGGAACAGCTGGGGGACTGGGAACAGCTGGAGATGGGGAACAGCTGGGGTTGGGAACAATTGGAGGACTGGGAACAGCTGGGGATGGAAACTGCTGGGGACTACAACTGGGGTGGGGTGCAACTAGGGACTGGAAACAGCTGGGCATGGAAAATGGGGATGGGGAACAACTGGGGGACTGGGAACAACTGGGGATGGGAATATATGGAGGGTGAAACAGCTGGAGGGTGGGGGCAGCTGGGGTGCTGGGAACAGCTTGGGACTGGGGGACTGAGAACAGCTGGGGCATGGGGACAGCTAGGGGGTGGGAACAGCTGAGGACTGGGAATAGCTGGGGGACTGAGAACAGTTGGGGCGTGGGGACAGCTAGGGGGTGGGAACAGCTGGGGACTGGGAACAGCTGGGGGTGGAGGGGCACTGGTGGGGACAGCTGGGGAATACTATGCTCCCAGGCTGCCTTGCTAATGTTATGTTGTGCTTTAGGAACTGGTTGATTGTGAGTCCCTCCATTTTCTTCTTTCCCCTGGAGGGGTCAGGGATGAGGGCACAGCTGCGGGCAGGTACTGCTGATCAGCCTGCCTGGTGCCTTCCCAGTGACTGGAGACCCAGGGTGGATAGGGAGGTGTGCCCAGGGACTGTGAGAAAAATTACTGGGTTAAGATGGGCATTTGTGACAATTCAGGTGCTCAGGGTTGTTAGCAGCAAATTCATGGAACTAGGGTAACATTTGAAAATAAAACAGTGTGATGCTTTCTATGTTCTCTTCATTAGGCAGAAATGGTTTTTGTTGTTGGTTTTTTTTTTTTCTTTGCTTTGTGGTGCTGAGATGAAACCTGGGGCTTCACTTGTGCCGAACAATGGCTGAACCACTGAGCTATGACCAGCTCTCACCATTAGGGGGCCGCCCAGGCTTGCAGGGTTGGCTTGATGAATCCCCTTAGGAGTAGGATGGGAGGCAATTTCATATCTGCCCTTTGCCTTGGAGAACTAGATGAATCTTGGCTTCTGTTGACCTCTGAAAGGTGTGTGTATGCGTGCGTGCGTGTGTGTATGTGTGTGTGTGTAATATGTGGACATGAATGCAGTGTCTTTGGAAGCCAGAAAGCAATGTTGGAATCTCCTGGAGCGAAATTCACAGGCAATTGTGACCTGCTCTGTGTTGGTGCTGAGAATCATTCTAGAAGAACGAGTGCTCCTAGTCACGAAGCTGCATCTCCAGCTCCCAGCACACCCTGTCTGCTTACCCACGCCAGGCACCCGCCACTTAGGTCTTGTTCAGAACCTTCAGGATGAGCCATGGAGATGGACACTTCATCACTTAAAAATGCTTTATTTTCTGTTTTTAAAGATTTTATGTTTAATATGTGTCTTGTGTGGGGTTATCTGCACAATACTGCAGGTACCCGAGGAGGTCAGATCCCCTGAAGCTAGAGTTACAGGGGTTATGAGTCACCTGAGTGGGTGCTGGGAACTAAACTTGGGTCCTCTAGGAGAACAGTGTGTACTCTTGATTAGTGAGCCATTTCCTCAGTCCTGAGCACTTATTCTTTACTGTCCTTACTTTATGGGTGAGTAAACAAAGTCTGGGGAAGTTATGGAACTTAAGACCACACAGTTAAACTCTGGTGGTGCTGTAATCCCAGCTACTCAGGAGGCTGAGGCAGTGGCACCCAGGTAGGCTAACCTGGTTTTGCAGAGACTCCGCCTCAGAGAGAAAACAAACAATAGACAAGGTCCAAAGCCACTGTCACACGCCTTACCAAAATACCAGCTCTTCCATCTGTGCCAGAGATGTCCTAGCTGTGTCCCGAGGATAAATGGGGAGACAGTCACAAGGGTGGTAACAGAAGCCTCTGACATGAAGCTTTGGGAGACTTGGAGCACTGACCATGTGCAGATCAGTGGCAGTAACCTTCAGGATTGCACCCCAGCAAAGAGACCCAACAGGCACTGGTGCAGGATGCCTGGTGTTGTGCCACCAAGTGCTTCTGCAAAGCTCACACCACACCTTACTGTGAAGCATCTCATTATAGCCCAGCAATACCGATGTTCATGACTTTGCACATCATCAAGCATGCCTTTGACATCCTCCACCTGCTCACTGATGAGCACTCTCTGCGGGGCGTGGTTATCATTATCAACAGTGGCCTCCCAGAAGACTTAGCATGCACTGGGAGAGTGCCACAGTAAGGTGGCAAGCTGTGGGTGTGGCCCCACTACACCCTCTGATTGCTGCTGGACGTGGGTGCCTTTGAGGCTGCCCCTAGAACAGTAAGGCTACAGGCAGGTAAGCGCTTAAGTGTTACCAAGGGCTCTTCCACTTCTTGGATGACCTGAAGTGTGGGACCAAGTCTAACTGACTCCCCAACTGTTTCTAATAAACTGATGTTTTAAATGGAAATTTAAAAAATAAAGAACTGGGTGGTTGGGTAATTTCTCACTTCTCATGAATCTACAAGATGAAAGTCTTAAGATCAAGGCAGATTCAGTTATCTGATGAGATTCCCTCTTCTGGTTTACAGATGGCACATTCTAGAACACTGTGACCTCACTCTGTGTGTGTGTTGGGGGGGGGCTCGTCTGATATTTTTTTCCTTGCAGAAAAGACATCAATACCATGGGAATCATATTAAAATCTACCATATATATGATCTTGCTTCTACACTATTCCTCCCAAACTTCCATCTCTAAAGGTTCCCCCTTTTAGACTAAGGCTTCAGCATGGGAGTTTCAGAGGGACATGAGCATTCAGAACCAAATAGGTACATACTTTAGAGTGTTTTTATTAACATGTTCACCATACATAATAATGGGCTTCATTATGACATTTTTATATGTGTATATAAAGTATTTTGATCATATTCCCCCCCTACCATTTTCTCTTGTCCCCTCCCATGATCTTCCTCGTTGAAATTGTCATTTTTCTTTTTGATCACTCAATAGATTTATTTAGGGATACTAACAGAAGCATGGGTAACTTTCTAGTGGTCATACCACTGAAGAAAATCTGCCCCTCCTTAGGTCACATAAAGGCACCACCAGACCTGATGACCTGAATTCTATCCCCAGGACTCACATGGAGGAAGAAAGAGCTGACCTCCATACCTGGCAATGTGTGTGATGACACACATCAAAATATAATAAAAAGATTTAAGTATAAATGGGCCTATTTGAAAGAATAAAAGAGGCTGGAGAGATGGCTCAGAGGTTGGGAGTACTCACTACTCTTCCAGAGGACCCAGGTTCAAATACCAGCACCCACATGGCAGCTCACAACTGTCTGTAACTCCAGGGTCTAACACCCTCACACAAAATATACATGCAGGCAAAACACTGATACAAATAATAAATCATAAAAAAGAAAATAAAAGGATTGACAAGTGTGGGAGTTGTATGAGAACTAAAGGGGAATATGATCACAATACATTCATTATATACAAGTGTGAAGAGTTCATAATAAAACTCGTGTGTCATTTAGGTTAATAACTTTTTAAAAAAGTTTTTCCACTAGCAACCATTAGCCACCTATAGATCTTCAGGGAGGGAGCCCTTCCCTGACCCTTGCAACCCTTAACTAGAGGGGTGGTTGGCTGCCCCTCCCATGCCAGATGGGGCCCAATCTAGTGCAGATTTTGCAGGCACCGCATAAATCCTGGTTCACATTAACCAGAACATGAGAGGTATGCCCATCAAGAGCCCAGTTCTCTTTGTTTTAGTAGCTTTGAAAATACAATCCAAGAATCATCTCCATGGTGTCTCACAAATGAGGGATGGGGGCATCTTAGAAATACTGTAGGCAAACCCACTTGAAGCTTCATGGGGCTCAGGAAAGCCGCAAGAAACTACTCGGAGGAAAGCAAGACTCTGTTTACCCTGTTTTCTTTTAAATCACGAAGCCTACTTTCTCTTGGAAACTTATATTCCTTAGGACACAGTGTAGAGCCCGAGAGACAGGCAGCTCCGGTTACCGTGATCCTCTACGGCTATCTACAAGCCGCCAATCACATTTCCAGTCCCTGCTCTCCTCCCCGTCTGACGCCGCTTTCCTAGCCCATCCCTTAGGCGTCTCAAGAGGTAAATGCTAACTAGGGGAGGAGGTGCCTCTCCTCCCGGCACCTGAGAACGCGTGGGTCTCCGCACTCCTGAACGTCTATCCAGTCTACCCACGCGCGGAGCTCGCCACCCACTTCCGACACGGCAGCTAGCAAACAAAGACCCTCTTCTGGGAACCAATCGTGTTCGCTGGCCTCTTTCTAGCCCTCCAATCAGATTCTAGGGTGTGTTCATCGCGCCAGGCACCTCTGACCTCCGATTGGTCGGCGTCTTCCTGGTGCGAGAGGCTCTGACCAATCAACGCCCGTCAGTCCACTGTGCTCGTCCGAGGCTGGCGGCGCGAGCGGCGGGGCCGGTTGAGGAGGGCGGGAGGTGGGCGGGGCCTCCTGCGCTGGCCCCGCCTCCTCGCCCTCGCCGATTCCGAGTATCTAGACACCGGTGGGAGACGGAGATACAGACAGGTGAGCCTCGCGTTCGGCAGCCGCCAGGATGGAGTTCGTGAAGTGTCTCGGCCACCCGGAGGAGTTCTACAATCTGCTGCGATTCCGCATGGGAGGCCAGCGGAAGTTCATACCAAAGATGGACCAGGTAGGCCGAGCATCCCTGTACCCTCGCGGGTCTGTGGCCGCCGCATGCACCGGAGATAACGGAGAACGGCCACGAGCGCCGGTCTCTTTGGGGGGGGGGGGTTCTGGCCTGGGTCCCACACCCCAGCTGGACCCTATCATCCTCTTTACAGGTCCCAACCTACCCCCTACCTGTTTTCCTG